AATTCCTCAAATTGATCGTACTCTCGAATTTATTGTTTAATCCTCTTACACATTCACTTCGGTTGAAAACAGCAGATGAACTAATTTCGCAGTAAGTGCAACGCCATGGTATTTACTTTGAGTTTTAGTTAGGAGGCCAGCCCGCAATGTGGAGGAGCGGATACGAGCTACTAAAACCAGCGAGGACTCGATAGTCCCTATAAAACGGCTTCCTAAAATTAACGGCACGAACGTAATTTGTCGGACGACTCCCTGTCTGTTCGGATTAAAATCTAAAGTTCGTAAGCGGGGTAGGTTTGCGCGTGACCCAAAGATATCCTGGCCTTCACCGTCGGGCTTTCTACAAATCTTGAAACGAGACTGTATTCTGACTAAGGCCAACTAGGGGCCTTTAAACAATCCTGAAAACAGAAGTTAAATTCGGGACGTGTTTGCACTGTAAATTTTGCAATCGTCAACAAAAGTTTGATGAACCGAGCGCTAAAATCATAGAAAAGTTAAATTAAAGAATTCAAACATTATAACGTTCCCTCGGGATACAGGTTAATTGAACGATCTTTTCTATGTGGGCACAAAAATCAGCTTCTCTACATAAACGAGACACGTGAATCAAGAATTCGCGTTATATGAAGTAACACATTTCCTAATATAAACCGGTATTTATACTACGATTCGTACAATTATCTCACATATGAGTGCAGATCGTTTTTTTTACCTCAGCGTTTCGTATCGTCGTCGGCATAAGTTCCGTCTTTACTGCTGTCAGCTAAGTGGCCATTACGGGAAACTGGTACAATCAGAGATAGAGCTAAGAGGCTCATAATAATCGTAGCTTGTAATAAACAGTCGTCATAATCGAAATGCACTGACTGTTCGCCGAGCTGTTCGCCAACTGTCATCACTAAGATAGCGCGGCATTGTATCGAATTACGGCAATCGAGGTTCAGTTCTCAGGATAATCAAGATCGTCTGACATTAATACGAAGAAACAGCAGACGCCTCGTGTCGCGGTCGCTCTAATGGAAATAACCGATAACAAGTTTTATTCACGCAGCTAACGTCTCTCGTCCAGGTTTAATTTGCTTCGGTGGAAATTATTCTAAGGAAATATGTCAAGGATGAAGCAAGCGATGATTTTTCGTCGAAGAAAATTCATTAAGGAATCTATCTCGGAAAATATATTTCTTTCGGGAGCATTCTGCATACAAAACGAGCCAATTGCGCACATTATTCTATTCTACTTATGGGATACTGTAAAAGAAGTACGCCGTAACGCCGTTGACGACGAGAGAAAGTGGATGAAACGAGCCGAAATGTATCTTTGTATTCCATTCTTAACGTCCCCCTAGTCGTTTTACACGTTAATGGCGTCAGTTTCGAGTGAACGGCATAAAGATAGGATCGAAATCAAGGCCGGTTTCCGCTTTATTACGGCAGTGTTGGAACGCGCTATCGATTGTTTGCGCTTTAATCGCGTTTCGGCGAAGGCTAACAGCGACGAGTACCGTATATACTACCTCGTTGCCGTTCTTGCAGGTCGCAGTTTGTCTGGGACTCTCTTTGTTTTTAGCGATGTTTTATTTCCCCAGTGACATTTCGGTATTTTTTATTTTATGACGATTCCGCTTGCTAGATGGACGAGTCCTTGCGAAGGCAACAATTTACGATATCCAACCATCGCACGGGCATCGAGAGGCCCGCGCGTTCTCTCGACAGCTATTTTCAATTCTTTTGTACATACCGGAGCTACTTTGTTATTTATGATGCAGCATATAGAGGGATGCCACACGTTCAAAGTATATCCGATAGAATAGAATCCGATTTGACAAGATATCCGAAAAGCAATAAGCGAGATGAATCGTGTCAAATTTAATGATTCTAATTGCACTCGCCATGAAAATACTTTTTACCTTGCTACCAATTATCTGAAAAATAATATAGACATTTCAAACCCTGGATTATATCCAGATGGCAAGTTTCGATAGAGAAGTGGTAGATATCTTAATTAAAAGATAAAATGGATCAAGAAATTATTATTCATTATTATTCTTTCCTACTCGCCTTATCTTTCTTAATAAGGAGAGTTAGAAATTTTTTAAAATTTCTCGTTTATACAGATGTAATAGTTCTCTTCTCCATTACAATTTCTTTATTTCATCAAGTCGCGATGCTGTTCGACAAACTGCGTTACAGCATATTTACATATATGTAACATTTACATATATATATATAGCACTTTTAACGCTTCACGAAACGAGATCGCTCTCTACGCGCGCATAAGAATATATTTATACGCGTCGTTTCCAAGTTAAGTAGATTCGAACGAGACTCGAATGCAACAGAGGATTAAATACAACAGCTACCGTCTATCTACGTATCTATCGTACCGGCTGAGCCCTTTAGGATGATATCTATAATAAAGCCGGTTCTTGTTCCTGCAGCGCACAGTAATAGGATAAGAGCCGGTCGGGCCTCGATCGAGCGAGTCTGTACTTTGCACGTGAACGACACGAGCGCGTAACGAGAGGGATCGATGCCGCTCGTTCGCGCGACGTGCAAGCGGTGCAAGTTCTTAAGCGTCGCCCGGCAATTGAGCGCCGCCTCGCCGCGCCACGCCGCGATATATAGTTTATCTCGTGGCTTCTTTACGGCCACTTTTATCAGTGACACTCTTAATGATTGTAAAACCGATGACGTACTGAAGGCGAACGCGTCTTTTTTGCATCTCATCTTCGGCATCGGCCGCCGAGGATGCCGAGCGCGCGCATTGAAGTATCGCGAAGAAACGTAGGTAGTCTAACTTTTTACGCAACGAGCGGAAGAGTTGCACTATCCAACGGGTGCGCTTTTGAAATTTTAAAATAAATTCTCTACCGAGATGCACATGCGGGAAATAATGCAAATATTTTTCCCACACGAATAGTTTATATTCTAAAAGCAATTTTCGTTTTACGGAAACGTAATTACTTGTGGGAATTTCATTGAATTAACTTTACCGTTGAAATTATTAAATCCGTTGTTTAACATATTATTTTCAGCAATTTTGTTTACAGTATATATAGAATTTTTTCTTCATTATGAGCATACCTATAGCGATAAAAATATTATGTTACGATTAAATAAGAACATATTCTCATAGATAGTAGGGCCGCATTGTGCATTTTTTATTTTACGTTGTTATCTAGCTGTTCATTCAAAATTTTATAACAAATGACATTTATTTATTTACAAGTGTTTTTAAAAATTTCAATAACGCCGGTCACCAGTGGCCGTCAGAGTGCCACTGAAAAGTCAAGCGCTGATCATCGATGGCCACGGGTGTCAACTATGGGTGTTTGAACGTGAATTAGAATTCATTTCGTTAAAAGGTTTCGGTGACAAATATGTTACTACTGCAACATTTGAAAGCAATTGACGATATAAAACTGTATCTCTAGGTTGATTATACCACGAAAATGATTATGGGGATAAAATGGCAGGCCTAAGGCCTGCACTAACAATTGTTAATCAATACACGAAAGGACGAATAGCTGGAGGAGAATTATTATTCCGTGTAACAGTTGACACCGCAAGCAGTGCATTCGATGCACTGACCTGTGTTTGCGTGGACCGAAACAGGACCGGCTACATTTATGTACGTAACTCCATATGTTATGTACATAATGGGTTACCAGTAACCGAAAGGTGGCAGCATAAAATAATTTTATTTTCTCGTCTGTGTAGTTTTGTTCCATTGTTTTCTCTAATTTCTTAAAATTACATTATTCCACAATTTCGCAAAAATCAAACGAAATTCGCCATCGAAACGGCATATAGGTGTCCTAATCAATGAATTTATAAATTTAAATAAATAGTTTTATACTGAGATCTTAAAACGCCAACAACGGTACAAAGCGGACCTTGGTGCTTTTATATAATATTAGTGTGAATCTTACAATTTTCGGTTCATATGTACCGTTGTTGGCATTTTAAGATCACAATTGTTAGTTAACATTCCACGATCTTTCCTGATACTCAATTAGTTTTATACTGTTTTGATATTTAATAAACAAATTGTTTAATAATTGAATTTTATGTCAAATTTCAACAAGATAGAATTAAAATTTCAATAATGTACTACATTGCACTGTATTTTTTCGAAAATTTTCCCGTTATTTGTAACATTTTGACTGAAAATTGTATAACGCTGAAACTCTCTCTGTGAAAATTTTGCGGCTGTTTTTTGATCATTGCTATTACGGCAGACGCTCGCGTGCGCGGCCACGCCGCCATTTTGCCATCGTGATAGAATTATCACGATGATCGAGTTAAGTCCATTCGTGTAACTTTGTTAATGCGATAACGGGAACCGTTGCTCTCATGCAGACCGTAACTATGTGGACAACGAACAACGTCTCACCTATGATGACTGACACCACTGATTAAAATCCAATTGAGAACTATTAATGAAGCTATTAAATGACAAACATTGTACAGGCACGCGCGCGAACGTGAATAGGATTAAACAAAACGCGCGAATACGGATGCAGTCTTCTCCTTGTGTCAAACAAATTGGATATCATAGATAAAGAAAGGCATAATGACAGTTTAAAATTGAACTACATTTTTTTTATATTGATAAAAGAAAACTGTAATTGTAATGTTACAACAAACCTTACGAGGTTTTATTAAATTTGTAAAATAAAATTTCCAATGACATTTTAAATTAACAATGTTATAAGACATTATAATTATTTACATTTGAGACCATTTTAACTGAATTTGAAAAATGAATTTTTTATCTTGTAATAGAGAACATGTAATATAGAATGTTGATATATTTAAATAAATTCAATGTGGCATGAAAACAGATGTCTAATAGTTAGGAATTGCGAAGATCTTTAAACGAATCCGGGAGACGGACCACGGCATCGCCTTATGAAGTAGTCGAAGATAACTTTAATAAATGGTGGCATCTTATGAGCCTCTCATGAGCGAGATCTGTTGGCGTTTCACTTCAGGTGGAAGAATCGACCATGCTCACCATTACAACAACGCTTATCGCGCCCTGGATGAGACCCTGGCGCTGGAGGAAGCCGTCGAGGCAGTTATGAAGGAGGTCGATCTCACGGAAACGCTTCTCGTGGTAACGGCGGATCACTCGCACGTATTAACCCTCGGCGGACTGGCAACGCATCGTGGGAATCCCATATTCGGTGAGCCACCACATATATACTTTACCCTTAGTACGCTATATCCGCCGTCAAGCATGAAATAAATGGGGCATTTCCGCTTCTTGAGATAGATGCACCAATGAATAAATAACTGGTTAAAATAAGAGAGGGGGAGAAAGAGAGAGAGATTGATTAAATAAAAAATTATTTTTGTAATTTTTCTTTAGCTTATAAAATTGAATTTAAATTTTTGAATTTAAATTTATACAAAAATGTATTATTTAAAATTTGAGTGACGAAACATTGATTTGTCTAATATTAAGTAATGTTTATATTAATTAAAAATTAATAATACTTTACTTTTGAAGTGTATAATTACATCATTTTTTATTATTGCAAAAATATATGTAGATTTCATAATTATTAACTATCAAAAGTTAATGACTCATTGGTGCATCTGTCTTATTTTTATTCTATAATTGAATTATATTGACAACAAATTAAAGATACAAATGAGTACACTCATCAACATGGTCTTGTTGCGTTCTTTCTTCATTGATTGAACGCCGAATATTTTGAGGTTTCATTATGTCGCATACTATTTTGTATCTTTCATTCGGATTTTTAATCATACACACGTTGGTACGAATGCTGTATCTGTGTGCGTTAACAAACTCCGTGCGATCCGGACGACCGGTTTCAACTGCCGTAACTTCCCGCCGCCGTCGAAAAAGAATGCGTCCTTCCCATTGTTGCCCGGGTCTGAACTTCCAATATCCGGGAGGGATGCGCCGGCAAACCGACTTTTGCCCCGAAAAGCAGCCTCGCAGGAAACATTATTGGATCACACGCGCGAATTAATCGAATGAATTGCCAGAGGTCTATATCGTCGGCAGAGCTTAAGCGCAGCTTACACGGCGCTTTCTTTCATTATAGCTTCAAATATATAGGCAATTAGAACTCGGTGCTTTGCGATTTAATTCATCCCCGGGATCTCGACAATAAACAGTTTTGAAGTCGTTGATTGCGCGTTTCTCGGAGTCGAAAAAGTAGACCAGAGAAATAAACGAGGATAACAGCAAACAAATATGTTAGCTGATATGGCCAATTCAGTAACACGTAAATGAAAGAGCATCAAGAAATATTCGTTTAAGTGGATTATGATATTTAAAAAGTTCTATGCGTGATGACAGAATTTTTTTTTAATGTAAAACTTGTGTTTTCCTGCAACTTGCAAGTTGCAGGAGAGAGAAGAACTGTATTGGAAGGCAGGTATATATTTCATGAAACACCGTGGCTATTAAAAATACATTGAGTCAGATTTTTACAAACTGGCCCGCTAGTCAAATCGAAACATTTCCACTTTGCAAAATAATGGTAATACCCTACCCTGTGTGATACAAGTTTTGACACAAAAATGATGCATAGCTCACGCAGTTATATCTAGTTTTAGCATCTAGCAGTTCATCGAAATTCTATCAAAACTTACACTTTGATGGATTATTTACTGTTACCGGCTACAACCAATTTTCTGTGACTTCCCGATAAAAGTGAATATTTTGTGCCAGGCTCCTAACCGGCAATATCCCTCCTCTAGCAATATTTTTGCCAGACTTTCGACATATTTTTGGACAAACGTGTTATTTGCCAGCGAACGAAAGCGTCGTGTGAGCCGCGCTTTATGGAGATCGTCCTCCGGGACGCGCCCACCTCTTTCGCTCCCTTCGATCACTCGTTTCCTCTGCTTTTCCGCCGACCTACTATCCAGTAAACGGCGGACATACCGATCCGCGGCGAGCGACGCGGAAAACGTTCGATCTCGTCGTCGGCAATCAAAAGTAGAACTCCGCTCGTCCGTGACAACTTTTTCGCGAGTTAAATTCGGCGTGGCCCGTTGTCCCTCTCCCTCTCTGCGTCGCGTGTGTCGTGGTGCCAGGTGTTGACCCGAGATTCGCAACGGACGTCAATGCTCGTGCGACGCTCGTGTCGCAATCCAATATTGAGTAAGCGACGCGAGCACGCTGTTTTATATGGTGACACAAGCTCGTTCCCGATCGAGTGGAGGAGAGTCCGTCCTTCCGACAGGACAGTTCTAGATTCAATAAGATCCAATCTACTTGGACAACTTCATGACGGCGCCCGTCCGTCCGACGGTTCGCTCGGTCGCGGTTAAATTGAATCGCCGGGAAACGTAAAGGATGGCTTTTTCGGCCGATCGTGGAGTCGCAAAGGGCTCGCCCGTCTCGTTTGTCCGATAGCGGCGGACGGTTGAAAAAAAAATATCCCGGACCCGAGGCGCGCCCGTTTTCCGAAATTTTGCCGATCGCCTGAATTTCATCGTGCGTTTTGTACTTCGTTCCCGCGGAATTGTCGGACATCCTGTTGCCCCATTGAGAAATTAATCCGTTTATAGTCAGTTCGCATGAATTCGCAAGCTTTATCACGGAGGGATTATTGTTTTACCGGGCGTGCTGTTTGAAATTTGATATACATACTTTTATTTGTCAATTTTTATTTTATATATTTTTTTTTTAAATAAAAAACTCACTCAAAATCATGTAAAAACTAATGAAATGAAAAACACGTGACTTCTAAAATAATCAGAATTTATATTTCTGTTTTAATTTTCAATAATAATTGAATGGTTTTTAAATTAGTAGAAAAGATTTTTTATATTTGTCGAATAAAGTTGAAAATAAAATTTCAGCAAAATTGAAACAAAATTGCCACTTCGATACACTCTCTTCTTTTTTTATCCGGAAAGGAATTTTTCAATTCTTTTTCCAAACAATTTCGAATTTCTAGCTTTATTTTATATAAAGGCTGATAAAAAAACAACAAATTATTTTGCAGTTTGACATATAGATTTATGATAAATATTTCTGACATGTGATGAATTGAACAGAAGAGTATATGATCGATAATGCAGATTCGTTTATCACATATATAGAATTTCAGGATTGGAGAGCTATTTTAACAAAGACACGTTTATGCGAATAGTGCAATAATTTTTAAATCTATTGATATTGCAAGCTTGCGTCCCGTAAATTTTCCGACCGATCCACGATGAATTTACTGGAATTACTCGAGTGGAAGATATCCAATAATGCAATCCCTCATCATGATTATACTCAATAACATTCCGCATGATTTAATAGAAATTTATATATATATGTTTGATAGCGGACATAATCTGTACGAGATAGCTGTGTTAATTAAACAGTTCACTCGTTGAAACGCTCGCTCGCTCGCTCGCTCGCATGGAAGCCAACGATACGACTTGTGTGGCAATTAATTAGCAATCGATTAGAAATATTTTTAAGATGGAAAAGAAAGAGATAACTTTGTTGATTTTAAGTTTAAAGTTTAAATAAATAAGTAGTACAGATGACTCAGCAATAAATTAAAATTAAACTTAATATTAATTAATACTCTTAATGCCATTTCTTTCAAACATTTTTTACAGTTATTAATTTGTTAATTTAATTAATTATCTGTATCTATTACATTATTCGTAATATATAATAAAAAAGTTGATTGTAAATACTTTTTATGTGAGCGAAGAAGATATAGCATGCCTTTAGGCGGCATAACGTTCAATAATTTACCTTTGTTACTAAATAGAAAATTAAGTGTTTAAAACGAGTTGATATCAATCTATTATTTCGGAAAGTAATTTACATTCTATGCTGGTCATTACATAATCGATACGTCTCGCAGAAAGACTCGCGCCGGTTTCCACTTTTCCCGCTCGTGTTGATTGCCATCAATAAATGGCGGTTGTCGAACCGACGAATCTCGCAATTTGCCCACTGCACCGAGAACATGGTATTGGACGCTTTTAATTTTTGGCACGTCAAATTTCGTTTGCATTTGTAATTGAAAAAAAAAGTCGGGCAACGCTATACGGACGTATCGATGTCACCCAATTCTGGACGGTATACGCCCCGGTGCCAGCGTACCGGCACTTGGCTCGAATTAGATTCGATATTGTGCGATTCCGCTTTCAGATTGAAACCGCGAGTAATTTCGTATTCGCGAATCGAATATAACACTCAGAAATTCCGCCGCGCTGGTGCCCCGTAATTGCACACTCGATATCGTTACGGGGTAAGCCATCGGGGAGCCATAAGACTCCTGTATCGTGCGAATCACGTGGAAAAGTTCGCATTTCTTATTCAAAATTTGCCATCTAATCTAAATAAAGACTCGCGGAGATGAAAGACTTAACTCCGTCTTGTACTCGTAATATAATTCTCGATTTTCCGCAACAGAGCGGTCTCGCATCACCTCGGCGAAACGCATTTGTCGCGTCGAAATCCCGAAACGAGGTTGCGCCCGCGCGCGCGAAGAGTTTCGCACATGATAAAAGTAATGAACGTAAGCACGGGCGTTAAATTACACGGTTGACGTACCGCGTGAAATTCGGTCCGAAGGAAACGTCTGATACATAGGGATCGGGAACGTTGCGGTTTTTGTCCCGCAGCGTTTCGCGTCTGTGTCGTCGTCACGGTTCAACGAGGTAAATCGAAATGAATATGCAGTCGTTCTTATATTCGCACCGAGCATTATAATCGCAGCAACGAGTATTCCAGGTGACAGACCCGACCTGAGGGAATTTAAAGTGAGAATAATGAGATGGACAGCCGCGCGTATTCGGGATAACGTAAATTTTGCCAACGCTGTCGTGACTATAAAATCGCGCGGGCACGAGTGTTCATAAATGTCCCTTTTCACAGATAGAAATATTTAAATGGCCATTGCAACATCTATTTAACAAGCCGCTACATTTTTATCGATCACCGATAGACTCGTTGAATATTGCTGGCAAAACATGTCTCATTTTGAGATGTTGAGAGATATCAATAGTTGTTGATTAAAAAACGGAGAGTTTTTGCTGTTAAATTAAATTGCATCTTAAACGTAGGGCATTTAAAATTTATCAAATATAAATATTATATACGAACTCTTCATTTGATCAACTTAATAATTAAATTCTGTAGCTCTACATTAGAGTGTGCTCAATATAATAATATAGTCAT